AAAAAAAAAAAAAGATGTAAAATGTTCCAAAGATTTAAAGCACAATTTGTTGTTACAGTTGTGTCAGGTGCTGTTGGAGAGCTCTGGTGGCGTAGTGCCTAAGGCATTTGCTAACCAGAAGGCTGTTTCAAACCCACCAGCCACTCCTCGGAAGGAAGATTGGGCAATCTAACTTCCACAGAGATAGGTTCTGTTGAGTAGGTCCCAATGCATAATGACCCTAAGTAGAACAGAATCAACACTGCCCAGACCTGCACCATCCTCACAATCATGGCTACGTTTAAGCCCACTGTTGCAGCCAGTGTCCATCTCATGAAGATGTCCCTCTTTTGTGCTGACCCACTACTTTACCAAGCATGATGTCCTTCTCCAGGGACTGGTCCCTCCTGATAACATGTCCATCCTCCCTTCCAAGGAGCATTCGAGCTGTACTTCTTCCAAGACAGATTTGTTTCTTCTTCTGGCAGTCTATGGTATATTCAATATTCTTCACCAACACCGTAATTCAAAGGCATCAATTTGGTGGTCTTCCTTATCTATTATCCAGCTTTCACATGCTTATGAGGCAACTGAAAACAGCATGGCTTGAGTCAGGGACACCTTAGTTCTCTAAGTGACATCTTTGCTCTTTAACACTTTAAAGAGGTCTTTTCCAGCAGAGGCACAATCTGCAGTCATTTAATAAGCAGTTAACAGCTAAGAAAGAGTCACTGTGTGAAAAATGAGTATTGGAATTGCTTGGATACTGATAATCAATCTGCTTTTCTTCTATGCTGTGGTCTTTGTTAAGAATTACTCTGAAAAGTCAGTTGTTCTAACAGCTTTCTAATTATTTTTGAAGCCACTTAATAAAAAACTTTCCGACTATGTAAGGAACAATTTAAGAAATTACAGCACGTTTGTTTTAAGAGGTTGGCTTTGAGTAAAAAACGTCAGAAAACACTGATTTGGGAGACAAGCAGAAACAGAAAAGCACTGGACATGAAACACTTAAAATTACCAAATTATGATTTGGGGAGTGAGCAAGACTACTAGCATCTTTGACTAGAAGACCTCCATACATTTGTAAAAGCCAGACAGCCCTACCTGGGAGATGAAGAAGCACCTTCCCCCTCACAAACAAAAAAAACCAAACTCACTGCCCTCGAGTCGGAGCCAACTCATGAAGCCAACTCATAGCAACCCTTCCCTGGGTTTCTGAGGTGGTATCACTATGGAAGTAGATTCCCCAACCTTCCTTCCAAGGAGTGGCTGGTGGGTTTGAACTGCCAGCCTTCTACAGGAGGCCTAACTAAAGCCGAGTGAAGCTCACCATTGCCTCCACTAAGGTTCTTATCCTTTCAAACTTCTAAAGGCAGAGAGATTCCTTTACTTTCTCCTCCTAACCCTTGAGCACATTCAATTTTGTTCATTACAGCAGCTCCTGAAAGGTAATTATTGACTACTTCCAGAAAAAGTTGCTGCTGTATGCTACTGAATTGATTCCAACTCGCAAAGACCCTACAGGGCAGAGGAGAACTGCCCCACGGGGTATCCCAGGCTGTCATCTTTATGGGAGCAGACCTTCAAGTCTTTTCTCCCGTGGAGCAGTATTCCAAAGTGGTTCCGAATGGTCAACCAAGATATATTCTAGTTACACAAATCCCACTATTTTTTATGGAAGCACATCCTCCCCACCCCCTCAAACTACTGTTATCGCTGTTTTCTCTAACATGAACTCAAATTATGATTATTGGACAGGCTGAAGAGAGAGGGCAAAAAGTGTAGCTATAAAGAGAATTTCCCCAGTTGCAGGGTGACCAGTTCCTTTAATCTCTGCTCATGTCGCCTTAATGATCTGCATGCCTCCCTATTTTCTTTTTTCTTACACTCAGAAAACTCACTGTGGTTTGGAAGTCAATGCTTTGAATAATCACTTGCTAGTTTTATAATTTGGTCCCACACTGTTGGCAAAAGGAGTATCAGTCCTTGCCTACTAACAATCCCTCACCGAACACAAATTCCAAGAAGACAAATAAGCACTTAGCAGCCATTGTTTTGTGTTTAAGCATAAAAGAATGTACCAAGACAAATTACCACATTCACAACCTCTTATTCCTTAGAGGCCAAAAGATTTTTAGTTCAAACACCAATTACACTAGTTTGAATGAAAGAAGACCTAAACGAAACCATTGATTCATCTTTTCTGATCAGGTATCACAGAAATTCAATTTTGATTATAGCAGAGGATCAAACTGGACATTCCTAATCACCCTAGATTAAAGATGCCTCCCACTTTCTTCTCTCTCTTGGACCATTACACCAAGCCTAGATCAGAACTATACTCACCTTCAGGCTAGAAGAAACAACATAATAGCTTATTGATCTCGGGTGTAAACCCAAACCCACAAGTCATCAAGCAAGCAGGGATCACTGCCACTTGATGCAACTAAAAATCAAAAGTCATGCACTAGGTTTTCTGGTCATACACAAACACGCCACTGGCAACTGCCCCAGCAAATGTGGACCACAACCAAAGCAAAAACACGTAAATCCATCAAGTACGGGAGCTGTACATTCCAAATTGCACAGAGAAGACTACTATTTCTTGGCTGTTGGCAAATGCCAATTCACGTACATTAAATACTTACTGCAATTTCTGAGGTTTTAAAAGTTCTGTTACATTCAATGCCAGGGGCTAATGTTTCAAAAGAAACTCACGAATTACCATCATTATCTTACTCAAATTAATGTTTATGCAAATGACTCGGACTTTTTACTGAAAAAATTTACCGAACAATGACAACTTCCAATTATTTTAATCTGGAGAAATCGAAACACCAGTCCAGAAAGTCAAGAGCAGCCGTCTCCTTTGAAACTCCCTAGTCAAAGTGTTTCCCTAATAGACTAGTAAGTCGTCTTTCAAGCCATGTTTTTTCCAATTCAATTTACCCCTTTATCTGATCCCAATGTGATACAAAGCTTAGTCGTTACAGATAGTCTTCACTCTTAAGCTCAAAAGAATACATCTAACACGTTAAATAGATTGTTTAAAAAAAAAAAAAAAAAAAACAGTGGTAACATTAGGAGACAGTAATGGAAGAAATGACAACTGAACTAGGAGGGCAGACATCTGCGCCCTAAGAGGGAGAGCCTGAGGTGAGGCTGGAAACTATTTTCTGGCCTTCTCCCGTGAGCTGCTTCTAGGGACGAACAGGATCCCGCACGCCCGAGTTGAACAGAGCCTCAGCCTCCGAGGCGGAGGGAGGAAGACAGAGCCCGCAGTTCTCCGAGTGGGGAAGAGGAGGAAGAGGTGCGGAGAGGTTTCACAGGAGAGAACTTCTTGATCCCGGAGAGGGAGGGGGTGGCAGGACCGTCCCGACAGCCGCGGGGACAGCCGCCCCCCGCTCTCTCACAAGCAAACATTTTCGTGTGTGTGGACTGGGCAAGGGGTTACGAGTGACGCTGGGGCCCTCGAGCCCAAGTCGGGAAGTCCGACAGTCACCCGCTCGTTCCAACAGGGGTCCTCAGCTCCCGGGACCTCCAGCCCCTCTCCAACACCCTGAGGAGGGAGAGTGGACGAAAACATCTTCTGCCTCCAACCTCGCCGCCGCATCTACCCCTCTCCGGGTCTTTGTCCCGCCAGCGGCTGGGGTCTGTCTCTCCCCGGGTCTCCCGGGGAAACCCCGTCCTGGAGGCCTCGGGGCCCGGGGTCGCCCCAGCTTTGTTCGGTCAGCAGGGCGCGGGGACGCAGACACTTACCGTACACCCCTGCGAGGAAAACCAAGACCAAGGCAGACCTCCACCACGGAGACTCTTTTGTGCTCCAGCGACGGGCCATAACCACGGCAGATGGAGGGAGAAAGGAGGAGGAGGAGATGGAGGAGGAGGAGGAGCCGGAGCCAGACGCCGCCGCCAAGCCCCCGGCTGCTCCCTGCGCTCTCCGCGGCTGCGGGAGGGGGAGGGGAGGGGCTGTCGCCGTCCGCGTGCGCTCCTTCCCTCCCTCCGGCCCCCGCTTAGCCGCTCCCACCCCGGCGTCTCGAGAGCCCCCTACGGGGCAGCCCTCCTGGCTTAAGGGCAGGCAGCGCTCGCGCCGGCGCGAAGCCAGGGGGCAGCGAAGGCGAGACTCTGGCCTCGCGCCGCACAGGCGAGCCCCCGCCGCCACCCGCCAGACGGAGCGCGAGCCGGGAAACCGCGCTCATCCGTGCGATCGGCAATCCCCTGGCCCGCCTGCCTTGGTTCCCGCCCCGCGCTCCGCTGGACTTTGGAAGTCTGGGGCCGCTTTCCCCGCCATGGGAGCCTGAGGAGCAAGACAGTGGCAATCGATGAGCGAGCGCGCGAACGCCGGCCGCTGGATTTCCTCGGACTGGGGAGCGGGAGTGCGTTGCGGAGCTGCGCCGCAGCCTGCGGTCTCAACGCTGTCCCAGCGAGTGGGCTGGGGACGAGTTGGAAGACTGAGGGTGGCTGCGTTGGGGAAAAGAATGGGTGGTTGGAGGCTGGGGAGTTGGTAGTACCTTTCCTTCCCCTCTTGCCTCCCCTTAATTTCGGCCCAAAGCTCGGGGTGGGAGGTGGGCGCCGGTTAGAGCAGCCCGGAGGATCAATGTGGACTCCGGCGGGGGAAGAGGGGGAGCCAGGTCTTGACGCCCACGCTCAGTGTACAGGAGATGAGTAGGGCCAGGCTGGAATGCAGAACTCTCCCAGTCTGGTGTAGAAGCCGCGTGAGGCCATTTGACATCACTCCGGGGGTGGGAGCTTGACGAAGAAGCATGCCTGGAGCCGACTTTCGGGGGTAGAGAATGGGAGGAGGGTTCATCCAGCACCCCCTGATTTCCCTAAACCTTTTCCCCGCTGCCAACAAGTGTGACCCCTCCTTCCCTTAGATCCCCGATGCACTTTCGAAATACATCTGTAGTGCCATTGGCGCGTCCGACCTTCTACCATGAATTTTTAAAGTACCTGTCTTCACGTCTTATCTCCCCCACTAGATTTATCGTTGGCCTTTCACACGCACTTTCGCGGCTATTCATTGAAGGACCTACATTGTGCTGTCCTATTGACATAGGTTCTCTCTTTTAATTTTAAACAGCCTTGTGCGATCACTATTACCTACATTGTATAGATAAGAAAATGAGACTCAGAAAGGTTAAGTTACCCAAAATGATATGTAATAAGTAAATGGTAGAGTCTGGTTTGAGATGTTTTTTCTCGTTACAAAGGCAGCGTTGTTTTCCCTGTACTACAGCATAGTCTTAACAATGCTTAGTTCTTAGGAGGTGATCAGTTCGTGTTCAATTCTAAGACATTTGTTTGGGGGTGTACTTAGGCTTTCTCTATCCCATACCTAGTTTCCACTTTAAGATTTTTTTTTTTTTTTCAGGAAATGGTATTCCAAACAATAAAGGAAAAACTTATTAACAAATAGTACAAAATTTAATCAGTAACAAACTCCTTTTCAGTTGGGGGGGTGGGTAACCAGAATTCCAAAAATGTTTTCCACTCCCAGTAGAGAAAAGGGAGGAGCTTCTCTATTCTTCACTAAAAAAACCTCAGATATTTGCCTTTCATAGTTTCAAGATTCCAGACTCCACTTCCTTGCTTTTGGAGATCTTTTACAAATCACTGTTCTATGAACAGCTGTGTTTAGGACAGACCACAAGCAAAATAGAAGTTGAGACACTATGTATAGACTATGTCCTTCCCTCTTCACTTTTAGCATCTTTCAAGGAACGCTATGCCCAAGACAAGACATAGGCCCTCATCAGCCTTGATTATCCTTATTCCTACCCTCCTCCCACCTCTACAGTCTCTCATCTACCTAGACTTGTCTTCTAGGACTAATCAGTTCTCAAACTTTTTGGTCTAAGCCCCCCTTTAACATTCTTAAAATTTAGGCAGGACTCCCAAGAGTGTTTGTTCATATGTTGTGTATGCTGTCAAGAAGATTCACACTCAAAGTGACCTTGTATGACAGAGTGGAACAGCCCCATAGGGTTTCCTAGGCTGAATTTTTCACAGGAGCAAATTGCCAAGTCTTTATGCTCACAGAGCCACTGGTGGATTAGAACTGCTGACCTCTCAGCAGCAGAGCTCTTAATCATTGCACCACCAGGATTCATTTTTGTTTATTTAGGTCATATCTATTGATACTTATTTAGAAAGTAAAACAAAAATTATAAATATTTATAAATTGATTTAAAATAAAAGCTCTGTTGCATGTTAAGATAAATTATACTTTAATATATTTTTTCCGAAACCCAACACTTTAGTGAGAAAAAAAAAACCAAACTCCCTGCTGTCACGTCAGATCCGACTCATAGTGACCCCTCCTTGGGTTTCCAAGGGGTATCACTATGGGAATAGATTGTCCAGCCTTTCTTCCAAGGAGTGGCTGGTGGGTTTGAACTGCCAGCCTTCTGGTTAGCAGTCAAATGCCTTAGGCACTTCGCCACCAGAACTCGCATTCATTTAGTGAGAAGAGAGGTAGTATTTTCCACCTTTCTAAACAGCATAGTGGCTAAGTCACTTGCCTGCTAACCAGACGGCTGGCGGTTCAAACCCACCAGCCACTCCTCGGAAGGAAGGTTGGGCAATCCTACTTCCGCAGTGATACTGCCTCGAAAACCCAAGGAGGGGTCACTATGAGTCGGGGCCGACTCGACGGCACATAACAACAACAACAACAAAACCTCCTTAGTGTCTGGTTTAGTAGAAGACAGCTGAATTCTTGTGTGTTTCCACATCCAATCTGTTGGAATATATTGTTTTGGTTGAAGTATTTGAAGAAAGGGAACTCTAGTAGCGTACTGCCTAAGGCACTTGACTGCTAACCAGAAGGCTGGCGGTTCAAACCCACCAGCCACTCCTCGGAAGAAAAGTTGGCCAATCTATTTCCATAGTGATACTGCCTTGGAAACCCAAGGAGGGGTCACTCTGAATTGGGTCCGACTCGACAGTACCTACCAACAACAACAACATTTGAAGAAAATCCAGACCCACACAGGTACATAATTGGCAAAGGGGGGAACTGCATGTACCCCCCCCCCAAGATGATCTCCAGAACACCTAGGGTCCTCAGATAACACTTTTAAGGACTTTTGATTTAGGATCTATCTTAACTTCTTCAAAACTTAAGTGTTTTGTTCTTACGGGAAAGGTCTAGCAAATATTCATTCTACACTGTTTGCAATGAATAAATTGTTGGTCTTGCAAAATTTTATCATGCGGTCTGTGTTGTTTCTGTCATCAAGGCCATATTTTGTAACTACTGAGCCTTATTCCTAATTTTTTCATTCCAATCATCAGTAATTATCAATGCATCTTGATTGGATGTTTGATCAATTTCAGACTGCTGAAGTTGGTAAAAAGTCTTCAGTTTCTTCATGATTGGCATTGGTGATTGGTATGTAAATTTGAATAATAGGTATTAACTGATCTTCCTAATAGGCCTATGAATAATATCCTACCACTGACAGCATTGTACTTCAGGATAGATCTTGAAATGTTCTTTTTGACAATGAATGTGACTCTACTTCTTTTTAATTTGTCATGGACTGCCAGAAGAACGAAGAAATCTGTTTGGAAGAAGTACCACCAGGATGCTTCTTAGAAGCAAGGATGACAAGACTTCATCTTATGTACTTTGCACATGTTATCAGGAGGGATGAGTCCCTGGAGAAAGACATCATGCTTGGTTGAGGGTCAGCAAAAAAAAGGAAGACCCTTAATGAAATGGATTGGCACAGTGGCTGCTATGGTGGGCTCAAACACAGCAATAGTTTTGAGGATGGTACAGGACTGGGCAGTGTTTTGTTCTGTTGCACATGTTGTTAGGTGCCATCAAGTCAGCTCTGACTCATAAGAGACCCCATGTCCAACAGAATGAAATACTGCCTGGCCCAGCACCAGCCTCACAATCCTTGCTATACTTGAGCCCATCATTGCAGCCACTGTGCCCATCCATCTTATTGAGGGCCTTCCCCTTTTTCTCTGACCCTCCACTTTACCACGCACGTGATCCTTCTCCAGGGAATGGTCCCTTCTGACAACATGACCAAAGTAGGTGAAATGAAGTGACCATTCTTGCCTCCAAGGAGCATTCCGGCTACACTTCTTCCAGGACAGATTGTTAGTTTTTCTGATAGTCCATGGTACTTTCAGTAATCTTCACCAAAACAACAATTCAAAAGCATCCACTCTTCTTTGGTCTTCCTTTCACATGCATATAAGGCAATTGAAAACACCATGGCTTGGGTTAGGTGCACCTTGGTCTTCAAAGAGAAAACTTTGCTCTTCAATACTTTAAAGAGGTCTTTTGCAGCAGATTTGCCCACTGCAATGGATCATCTGATGTCTTGACTGCTACTTCCATTGGTGTTGATTGTGGATCCAAGTAATAAGAATTCTTTGACAACTTCAATCTTTTCTCTACTTACTGTGATGCTGCTTATTGGTCCAGTTGTGAAGATTTTCATTTTCTTTATGTTGAGGTGTAATCTGTACCGCAGACTGCAGACTTTAATCTTCATCAGTAAGTGCTTCAAGTCACCTTCACTTACAGCAAGCAATGTTGTTGTCGTCTGCATATCACAGGTTGTTAATGAGTTTTCCTCCAATCCTGATGCTGTGTTCTTCTTCATATAGTCCAGCTTCTTGGATTATTTGCTCAGCATACAGATTGAATAAGTGTGGTGAAAGGGTACAACCCTGACTCCCTTCCTGATTTTAAACCACACAGTATCCCCTTGTTCTGTTCGAATGACAGCCTCCTGGTCTATGTACAAGTTCCTCATGAGCACAATTAAGTGTTCTGGAATTCCCATTCTTCTCAATGTTACCCATAATTTTTTATGATCCACAAAATCAAATACTTTTGCATAGTCAATAAAACACAAGTAAACATCTTTCTGACATTTTTTGCTTTCAGCCAAAATCCATCTG